TTTCTCGCCGTTCGCGTTGTCTTAAGGAACGATAATTAATTTCTTTTCCGCTTACCTTAATTAATAATGATCCTTTCCTTCCGAGTCAACGGTCCGGCGTTCTAACGGAGTCCTCGAAAAGATCCTGCTCGAAAAGATTGAAACTAAGCGTCTGAAAAATCGGTGGACTCTATTGTTAATTTCCGCGATCAATTAGTTCCGTTTCCGTCAAATACTTTCTCAACGAAAGGACGTACCGCGACTATTATGATCGATGGCTCTGCTCGTCCTACGAACGCTTAATCAGATTTCCGATTTCGCTTCTTTTTTCCCCGGGGCAAATGTCTGAACCTCGGCGGAACGAAGGGCCCGTGATTTTTGGCACAGTTTCGCGATCGAAACTCTATCTCCAAGTCGTTAACGATGCAATTTCGATCGGAGTTACGCTAGTCACCATTTCCAGCGGGTTTCGGAATTTCGTAAACGCGCACAGAACGATGAAAAGTTCATTTCGTGACGAACGATTTCGCGATTTGCATTCGTGCTAACCGATGCGCGGTTAATGGAAAACATGTGTGCAAAATTGGACCCGCGGTCGAGTTATCCCTCGTCGTTCGACGTTGTTACAGATTACTCACGCTCCTCTCGTTCCTGCTGATTAATGTTTAAACATCGGCGATTCACGAGTTCCATTTTTCAACGTTGCTAGATGAAATTGTTCGATTCGATTCCGGTAGAAAAAATCTCGCCGTAATGCCGTTAATTGAGTCGAGGCGTCGTGACGGCTAAACGATACTGATCGCGTCGTTTAGTGTTTCGTCGGGGGATGAAATGACGTAGACGGGAGGGGTGAAATTGAATAGTAAATCGTTTATTAGTACGAAGGTGTGATAGTGTCTCGAGTTAGCCTTGGCCGACAATCGTGATTAGAGTGAACCTGTGGTACCATAAGGTGAACGAGTGTGATAGAGTCTTTTTTTTCTTTTCTTAAGTGATGTAAGAGATAGATGTTAGAGCTAGTTACCCTGTTCTGCGAGCTGGTGTTCTCCCCGTCGATCGGGCCGATTTCACGCGCTCTTTTACGATCCCATTACGATTCACCGGTGTTCATCCGCTCGCCTTTAAGCCGATCGATCTCTGCCGTTTTCTATTCGTTCTTTGACTCATCCCGTCCATGATCATCCACGGTTCGAATGCAACACGGTACGATGGAAAAGGAGAACGCCCGTGCAAGCTAACTTTCAAGAGTGCTACTTGTTATTTTCCGAGGTACTCTAGTGCCTATGTTTTTCACTGCCCTCTGCTTCTTTCTGCCTATATTGCTAAATCGCAGCTAAAATTAGCAAGACTGAAGGGGGTGGAACGCGACAACCCCGTTCTCCCGTTTCGAACGCAACAATAAATAAGGAATCTCGTAACTCGTATACGCGTTCCGATAATGGGAAAGGAATCTCCCGTTCGTTCTTACGCTTCCTTAACATTAGACGCTCGTTTGCCCTCTCAAGGAACGAGAAACGAAAGACGAAATCAAATATCTCTGTTGTCTCCGATCGCGACGCACAGCAATAATAATAATAATATGGATAATAGTAATAATAGTAATAATAATAATAATCAGTGCGTCTATATGTAATTCGCATTAGCGTCGATATAACAATTATTCGATTGCGACAAAGTACTTGGTACCGAATACAGATTGCAGGCTGCCAGGGGGGAACACGAACGACGTTCCCGTTTACTTTAAATAAGAACAATGATAATAAATTAGGTTTCGTCGTACCTACTGTACACGCGTGTCTTTGTATAGATACTTATATACCGCATATATATATAAAAAACGATCTTGAAAAACGCGTTTGACTAACATGGACGTAAAATCGTACAAAAAGCGTTTGTCCCTCGTCTAATTCCGTCGTGCGTTTACCTCGACGCAACAGCGTTCTCGCGCCGCGAACGCCGTCAAACTCTTCTCCCGCACTCTTTGATTGTACGCATCTTTGATCATACGTGACTGGTCGTGCGCTTTCGTTCCCCGCGATATAAGTACGTGTAACACCACCTACGGTTCACCTTTATTTTCGCCCGCCAACCCCACGTCCCTTTCGAGCACTCCTGAATCGATAGCGCTGCTCGCCGTACCCGACCGTCGAACTTCTCCTTCGAGCGTTGGAAAATTTTTAAACGCGTCGCAAACTCGCAGCGTTTGTTCGTTCCCTCGAAGCCGATCAAATAAACGAAATCTTCAATTTTATACGAATTCACCGTTCGATAGACCGGAAACAGATTTCGGATCCAGGGGAAATGCTCGAGAGGGTGGTCTTTCCGCGCGCGCGTGTCCGGTAGCGTTTCCGCCACGGTACACACCCAATTCTCCGGGTCGTACATATAAAATTATATTTACAACAGAGTGATCTTTTTTTTCTTTGTCGCGAGGTAATTCGCTCTACATGCATCTAAAGAGTGTACAGTGTCAAGAAGCGGAAGGGAGGTGCTCGGAAATCCGAAAAGATCGTTTCCGGACGGCCCGTTTTAATTATTCAATGTCCACTTTCTTGCCATTTTTTCAATCGTTCTTCCTCTCTCTCTCTTGCATTCCCTGTCATCTCACTCTCGTCTCACCTCTCACACGCCCGCGCCACACGACGCGTTGCTCTTTATAAATAATTTAAAAATTATACACTTTTATTTATATATTTATATATATATATATATATTAAATTCGATCTCTGTTGCTCATGGCACACGTCACACGTTCACGCACACGAGAATGCTTGATAACGATATGATACAGCTATGCTACATCGGAGGAATACGGACGCTTCTCCCACACCCTCCCCCTTCGCTTCCTGCTTCGTATTTACACGGGGTTGCTCGCGAATAGTTTACTACTTTCTTACACTTACAGTATGTATATGGTTGCTTCTGTATATTGTACGTACGGGGTGCCTCGCCTAACTGGTACCATCTAAATATCTCCTCCGACCAAAAGGAAAAATTCCATGTATCGTTTTAAGCGTAGAGGTCAAAGGTCCTGTCAAGATCCGATGCAGTCAACAAAAAGGACACCGATGGTCTAAAAATATTTCTTGTATCGTAGCGATTGGCGAAGATATTCAGATGGGCTGGTTCAGATGGGACACTCCGTATATGTACCAGCGGGTGTACAGTCCGCAGTCGGAACGAGATCGTCCAAAAGGCCACTATCTCCATTCTTTACCATTTTATCCGTTTCACGAGTAGCCACGACTCGAAAGCGGAAATCTCGATTCGCAAGGAGAAGAGTGGCCCCCCGATAGAGAATCGATACCGTTCCGACCATCTTGAGAACACTGTCCCTCGATTATCCTTCTCTCGTCTTGGTCTGTCTCTCTGGCAGCGTGATCGAGGCGTCTCGCGAGCGTAAAATTCGTGCGACTACCAAATGTTAGAAATCCATCGTCGCGCGCGTACGCGTCGAAACGCGCGATAACGTCAATACTACTCGAGGCGGAATATCCGTCTGTCGAAAGGGGGCAAGGCTAACATTCTGCGAGAGTATTATTAACGTCATCCGTCGCGCGCGTTCTCGTTCCTTCCGCGAACGCATATTCAGAAAGACGATCCCATCAAAGGAGTCGTTTCGCGTATTCAAAGAGACGACAGGCCATCGTTGCTTGATCCGTCGCGAAAGGAAACGTCGCAATACGCGAACGAATTGTTGTCTGCAGCTTCTGGGTAACCATCTGCCGTGGAGGAGCTTTGAGAATGTCGGACGAGCTGGGGAGGGCTCGCTGAAGGAACACTATGTATTCTCTTTACAAAAGCAGACTTTGCAAGAGTAAGGCTTTCGCGAAATACCCGCCTTTACTCCTTTCTTGATAGTTTTTCTTATTGAAACGCGCCGCGACCTCGCGCGAGATTGTAAATACAGGAGCACCCCTCCGAGCGTTACGCGTTCGACGAAAGCTTCTGCGTGCACGTTACGCTGTCCGTGCAACGATAATTACCGCTTGTAATTGACGAAGGAAAGAATTGCAACTTGACGAGCGTGCTTATTATACTGGGTGAAAACTACTGTGTCTCTGTGTATGTGTGCGTTGCGTACGCGAGTGGCTACGGTTTCGTTGTGAGTCGCTAGGTGCACGAAAAGTCTTTTAGGTACTATTATACAGTCGGATCGTTGATGTGTGGGAACGTGCGCGCGGGACGAAATTCTCTTCTCGCGTGGTCGTATCAAATTGTTTGTACGAAACCAGTTGGCAGATATCTCTAAATCGTGGGCAGTCTTTGCGGATTATTATTTAGGATTATTTGGCAGTGGATCGGTTAATCTCTTCCGACTGTTTTCCCGTTTCTTCTTCATCTTTTCTCGTTTTAAAGTTTTTCTTTTTTTTTTTTTTATATTTTTCTTTTTTCGCTTTCCGAAAGGTAGTCGCACGTCTCGCACGAAACTCGTCAACGTTTAAAATCGTCTCGCGAGTAGCTCTACTTGTATAAATTATAAACTAGAAGGCTAAAAAGTCGAAGTACTTGTTAGCGTCCTTTGGTACCAGCCTGAGTCTCATTAGATTACAAATAATTTGTTAAATAGTCTTGCTAAATCACTAAGAGATCACTGTTTGCGTGACTATTCGTCCCCCCTCGTTCCCTATAGTCTTAACCATCGCGTTTACAGTCTTTCTATTGCTCTGTGTCGGATGTTCGAGTCGTACGATCGTACTCCGAATGTCTCTTCCATCGGGTACGGTCCTTTGCAGTTCACGATACGTTTAAAAAATACTAAAATAATCGGTATATCACGCGCAACGATTAAACGACGCAAGCACCGTCGCCTCGCGTACGAAAATAAAATACTCTCCCCCGTGATAGGAAACAAAAAAAATAAACGAACGGAAACGGAAGGGAACGATAAAAACGACATCTAAAATAAATACGCGAAGTAAAACGCGGGATCACTACTTTTTAAAAAAGTATTACAAGCTTCCTGTTCATTTTTTCCTCGAACTCGATCTTCCTCCGCGAACGTTCCCCGCGACCGAACATTAGGACACGATATAATCCGCGGAGTGATGGGAATGATGGGAGTTTCGATGCTTGTCCTTCCTGTGGTTCGTCCTCGAGTTGCTGCTACGCGTGCCGGTGGTACCGGTGGTACCGGAAGTGTGATGACTGTAACCACTGTCGCTGCCGAAACTACTGTCCGGCTGGCCTTGGTACAATCGACCGGAGGCGATCTGCTCGCCGTCTCTGGGCCCGTAGTACACCGGCTGCGTGTACTTATCCTCGTTATAGAGACGATCGGTAGGCTGGGAATAGGTGTCCGAGTACTCGGCGCCCACTTGCGTGTACACCGGAACGGCGTCCTGATTCTGGAGTCCGTAATAGTCCGCTCCGTACTGCGCGGAGTATTTGTACTTGTCGTTCGACTTACGGGACCTGTCCTTGTTGCTTCTGCCCTGGCTGGAGTAGCGGTGCAAAGGGCCGAGCACCGGCACGCTCTCGTACGGATTCTCCTCGACACGGAGGGCTTGGGTCGCTGGCATCGGGGGCACAAAGTAGGGTAACCTGTGGGCCACCGACGGGACGGACTGTTGTCGATGATTGCTATTCGTTCGGGTGCCAGCTACGCCTGCAAAATCAACGTCAGCCGTTAATTAATAAAACCGGCAGCGGGATAAGCGCGTAAGCGTAACAGCCGATCATATCGAGAAGTACGCGTCGAAGTTGTTGCGAAAATTCCGGTCTTTGAACGGTCCCTTTAACGTGTCGATGCACGCAACAGCGAACTAATGGAACAAGGGACTGGTTATATGTAGAACGTGGACAAGTACGGCCAGTTCCATATCGAACGCGTAGTTTAACCTAATAGAATCTATTCCAAAATGTTTCTAGCTTACCAGCGACGCTGGGATAGAGCTGAAGCAACGCGTCCAGCAGCATCCCCTCGTGAAACTCTCCCACGTCGTGATTCTTGTCTCGTCTGCGTCTGTCGAGGCTCCTGGGGCTTCGGCCGCGTCTTTCTCGCGGTGGCCTGCCACCGGCCGGACACGTGCCCCACGTTGGCCCACTCGATGTCAGCATCCTGGCCTCGGACGGCTCGCCGACCGATAGCTCGTCTTCGGCGAACTCGTCCTCGCTGGCCGGCTTCGACGACGACGTCGGCCGATGATGGTGCCGATGATGATGGTGCAGCCGATTCCGAGCATTCAGCTCGCTCTCCTCGTCCGTTTCCGGATGGTCCCCTGGAACGAATGAATAATTCATCAGCATCCGTGGTATACGTCCCTTGCCCCGGTAACGATAATTAATTGGACGGTACGTTAATTAATTAACTGGCAATCTCTTCCTCGCGTCAAAGTTACCATCTCGCCCAGTCGATGGAATCGAATCGAGTCGCGTTACAGGCTACCGTGCTTCCAATATTCAATGAGTCGTTAGGATCGATTAGTCGAGGAGACGAGGATCGATTCTTCGCAACAAGGTGGCTGGGAGTTCAAGAACGACAAGTGTTTCGCTCTCGACGCGTCCTCGTGTTTTTAATCGACGCTGACGAAATATTCAACATTTTTATTACCACTGTTCCTACCTTCCGCAGTTTCGATTCGTCGTGGTTTTCCGTTTTTAATCCCGGTAATTGACTCGCGTGATTCTTGCGTCTATGGTTATCGCGCGATCGTTAACCGATACTATTGTTGCGCGTATCAATTCGTCGCTAACGAGAGCTGGGTTCGTTTATGTCAGGTTCATTAAAATAGCTTAACATACTCGCGGTTGAAATCAAAATAGAAATCCTCGATGCCATTTTTACACGGCTCCAATTATTTAACTTGGCTGTGAACGACCGCGAGCAAGACGAGAACGAGGCGTGTATAAAAGTGATCGATTCGTGTTGTTTCTCGGGTAAGTGATATTGGACGTTCTTGGTCAGACGCGTTCTCAATCTTCGCGGCTCCATTTTCCGACGCGTTGTGTTTATCGAGTATTCCTAATGGACGTCAAAGTCCGTTTTTTGACAATTCCACGAATGCTCGCGATCGTCGTTCCATCTTCGGCCTGTCGTGCACGTTCTTGTTTACAGGAAAAACGCGGAAAGGAACAAATACTTGTCCGTTTACCGCGGTTGCACTTTTAATCTCCGTTATTGTGTACCTTTTCTTGTTTGTCGCTCGGCGGTCGAAGGGATGGCGAGCGAGCCAGGATTTCCCCGGAGACGGTAAATTCCACGAAACGAGGAGGAATTCGTTACCGCGCAAAATAATTCAAAAACCGCAAAATACACGTTCCCCTCGCGCGGCGGCCGCATTGTGTTTCACGGTCGACTTGGGCCGCGCGAGCCACGAGTTCGGCTTTCCTCGATGCGTCGTCGACGAGTAAAAAGTCGCAAGGTTTTCCGCGGGTTCGGCCAAGCTTTTTTCTCCTCGAAAGAGATCCGCCGGGACAAGACCACCTCATGGTGACGTTAACCAAGATAAATTATACGATCTCGCGTCGCAGTGTGCGCGTAATGGGTTACATGGATTCGTTCTGTTCAAAGGGCAAATGGATCGGTTCGAGCTGCCCTTTTCGTTCCCGCGCGGCTCTTGTGTGCGTGGCTGTGCGACACGAGCCTGGAAACGCGCACACACACACACAATGGGCCAGGGAACGATGCGCGCCGCCGCAGCATGTATATTCGATTACCGCGTCCTCGTCAAACGTCGAAAGTCTCATCACCATGCTAATTAGCCATCCGGCTAATGGGAAGTATAAGTCAGAGGTCGTGTCACGCTTATCTCCTTCCACTAAAGACTAAGTGGGAGAAGCGGCGTGGATGGATACACCGGTGGAGGGAGGCTATCAAGATACTCGCCGCGGGAAAGGAACAAGATACACTGGGAAGAAGATGAACAGCTTCCGATTCCGTTCTGGCAGAGATTAGACACGGAACTTCATTCGTCGAATTAATAGGGAGATAAGCGCCGGAGAAAGAACAAAGCTTTTACAAGTTCTTCGCGAGCAAGCTTTCGAACGATTTCCCGAATAACCTGGGCATCGTCAATCCACGAAAGGCAATCGATTCGCCTAAAGTTAGAGAACGTAGAGAGGAACGATTAATTCAAGCCAGAGGGTCCGAAACACAAGAAAGTCGCAAGTCAGTGTTAGCCTTAGTTAATATCAAAGTTCACCCAGATTCAATTTAGTCACACGTTAATCGCTAGTTGAGCCAGCTTAGTGGCGACAATCCTTGAAAGCGTGAGCTCGGTTCCTACCTATGTTCTCTATCAGCAGGATCAAGCGCGAGAGTCGCGCCTAACTCCTCAGAGTCCTCGCTGGCAAGTCTCATCTAGAAGGAGAGCGTGTAATTTGCATTTCTGCGGGATCGAAGCGTCGAAAGGTTCGCTGCGCGGAAGGATCGAGACAAAAATCGGAGCGTATCATGGATTAAACTACTCACCGTTGCTGAGCTCCTCGTAGACAGGATTGTACAGGTCCTGCGACGTGTAAGGATCAGGACCCGGACTGCTGCACACGAAAACGCCTCTGCTCGTGTCCTTGACGTCCAGCATCTGTCGCGAGAATGAAAAAATCGTTAGCCCGTTTCGAGAGTGATCGTGCAAGGGCGTCGAACGGGCGATACTGTCGCGTCAAGGACCGCGTGGTTACCGCAAAGAAACTGCTAAGCGAGACGTAACAAGGAATAAAGGAAAGCCCCTTAGCGCTCTAAACTCTTGGCTTAAGCACGAGAAGCCTTTAGCGTCTGTTAAACGCTTCTTTCTTAAAGCGGAACTAGCCTTGCGCGTGTCTTTCCTTTCGTCGCGATTCCATTTTTCGGATTAAATGCATACGAGTCGGGAAAGCCTCCGACTTATTCGAAGGGTTGAGAACTCGACATAGCACCGATCTATTAGAGTTCTTAGCAGTGTCGGGGAATTGTTTCGAGCAACCAATACGGATTAAAGGGCCGCGAGCCCCGGGGAGAGTTCTAATGCGATTTGGCTGCGTTTCCGGGCGGCGATTAACTCGTTTCTACCCTTCAAGACCCTCGGAAACCTCCGATTTCCCTCACCTCCGGGCGAACACCGATCCGAGAAACGCTGACGCGGGTGCGAACCACGCGGAAACAACGGGGTCGACGGTTAATCCTTAAATCGTCGAAGATCCCGACCGGCGCGAATAACAAGGCACGATTTCGACGCGTGATTTATCCGACGCTAATTTTATTCCAGACGCCACGCCAATCCCGGATCCGTCGAGCAAACGGGGCGAGAAGTCGTCCGGGAAATCGCGGCGGCCGCGGATGAATTCTAAAAACTCTCGACGCCCGTAATTAATTCCCGGGACATCCTGCTCCGCGAACTCGCTAAAAAATTCAACGACCGACGTCCAGAATGACGGGATGATCGATACGATACAACACCATTTAATCCACGAGTTCCGGTTAACCCAGTTTCGCGCGCGTCTCTTCTCGCGACAGCCGGTTTTCGGATCAGCCGTGTCTTCGGTGCAGAAACTCGCCTAATGGGTCTCGTCGTATCGCCTAACGGGAACAAATGGCGCACCGTGGTTTCCGCGATCCTATTATCCCCGTATTCGAGCCCACCAAGTTAATTGTTTGCTCGCGCCAATTAAATTCTTACGTCCGAAACGAGTAACGTGAAATTCTAAGGAGACAAGGAAGGATCTTCGGTTCGAATGGTCGACCGGACAGCAAGTTATAAAATTATAAAATTTATAATTTGCCACGGTGACCGGGGAAGCCATAAGAACAAATAGCCTCTCTCGGAAAATTTACGCTTCCTTTTTGACGCTTTCATCGAGAAAGGAGAATCGCTCGGGGCTATGGGCGAACGCTAAGTGGCCGAAGGGTCCGAGTTACAGCTTTATAACAACGATGGCGAAAGGGAACAATAGCGAAGAGAGGTTCGAGTACTTTCCAAGTACTTCCTAATAAAATTTGATGGAGTTGATTTTCTGGTGGCGTGCACTCTCGTCGTTCGTCGGCGTCGCACAGGATGTACAGCCCGAAGCGACTAGGCGATAGTGAATTAACGACTGGAAACGTTAACGCGGAGTTTTTAGACTTCGTTACCCCGAAATTAATTGCCCGCGAAGAAGACGTGTACAGGGTTGCTCCGGGTATCCGGATCGGTCGCTCCCGTGACCTCGAATCGCCGAAATCGAGTTAATTTAGGGAATCGTGAGGGAGCAGAGGCGAACGAATCCGTTGGCTTTTCCCCCGAATTGAAGTCCCACGAGCGGGCTCTGTCGACCACAAAGGAGGATCACTCGATTACTTTTGCTTCGCTTTTGCCGAACGTCGACCGGAGGGTTCTCTTCCGGCCCTTCCGCTTGTCTTCTCGCATCTCGTCTAATCACGCGTCTCGCCCTTCGCGTTTCGACTACTGCCAACTTTCCATCGATTGCCAAGACTCTACCGACGAGTAGATAAACGAATTATTGGGTCTTTTCGGCTCGAATCTCCTTAACGTCGAAGAAGAGCGATCGATTTCTGAGTCATTTACACCCGGAATACCATTCTAGCAGTTGAACGAATGTAGGCGCTCTTTACTAGTTCAGAGAGAGAGAGAGAGAGAGAGAGGTTGCAAAGTCGGAGCTTTGGGATAAATTCTGTCAGAATTTCGCCGGCGGTGAACGATGTTAAGACGGCTCGGAAAATCGTGAAAAGAGGATGTAAAGAATCGGCGAGGTATCTCCCCGAGAATCGCGATTCCGTTTAACTACCAAAATCGAGATGCGCCTCGATGATAGACGCCCGAGCAAACGCCCGGAGCTCTTTGCTCTGAATACAGATTCCGAGGGCGATATTATCACTCTCGAAAGAGGATCACTCGATTACTGGCGTCTCGTTTGGACGGACGGGGCCCGGACGAAGGTAATTGTCGCCCTTAGCGAGCGCGGAGCCCCGACAACGTATACCTCGAGGGTTCTTTCTAATAAGAGCGAGTCGCTTCTTTCTCGAATAACAGCTCGGCGCCGTCTCGAGGAATTTCCAGGCCGGTACCGTTCCGCGCGGAGTTCCTCGCGAGAAGAAAAAAACGCGTTCGAGATCCGCGAAAACGTACGGATAATCGATCCTCCGTTCGGACGGCTTTCAATTTCCCGTCCAAGGATAACCTATCATTATCTCGAAAGTGGGAAACGATTTTGATATTTCACGGGTATCGAGGCGAACCGGTGAACACTATCACGAAACGACGGCCGTAAATTTGCTTTCAGCGCGATCCGCGTAATAGAGGAAATCTCGGCCGCGTTTATTATATCTCGTTTATCGAAACGCATCGAGAGAGAGCGAGAGAGCGAGAGAGTGGACCGCAGAGAGTGGCGAGACAAAGAGGCGGAATCGAGAAGGCCTGGATCACAAGCCGCGTGAACGAGAAAGAAGCCCAAGGAGGCGGATAGAGCGAGATTGAGATAGAGCCTCGAGCCATCGTACCCAACAGCAGGAAGCAATATGTCCGTGGCGTAATAGCGTGGAGCACGGAGGTTAATGGGTTGTCCCTAACGCGCCTAACCTGCCCTGCGTTCGCCGTGTGTCTGTCTGTTCCCAGTGAAACGCCGCGCGTCCGATCCACCTAACTCGACCGTCACATTGTATCGCGATAACGCGTCCTCCTAATCGACTAATTTACTGCGTCCCTTCCAATTACCGGACGCTCGAAGAATACGAGGCTATCGGCCAGACTGCTAATTCTTCGAGTAATCCCGAAACCTCTCCAATTTCTTACATCGTATCGATGAATCGAGGATCAAAAGCTAATACAAATTTGGGATCTATGCACTTATATGATGTTTAACCCCTTCCCGTGCCATTTACCTCGACTGATACTAAACTGCTTTGCAACAGAGATTATAAGAATCGTGACCGACTCTTGTGGCGTACCGATAGGAACTAAAACTCAATCACGATCCTGATTTACTGTCCGCGAGCCTGGCTCGTGATGTTTACGTTTGAGCCGACTTTCTGTTCGCGAGTCTGGTTCGTGGTATTCGTGTTAAAGCACTGGAAGGGATTAAATATCTGAGTCGTATTCGAGGTAGAAAATTTCCGATGGATCTAGGTGCCGTGCGCATCGATCGCGCAGGCGTGTTTCTCGAAACGAAGATCGACTACCCTTCCGGGCTGGCCGGTGCATCGTGCACGCTAGCCAGCGATGCCGTGGCCAGAGCACGTTACCGTAACCTGCTAATTGTTAGTTACGGGCGGCAATTGCGTTAGGTTCCTAAGTCCGATCCCCCTTTCCCCGGCGGTCATCGATGTTACGTCGTTATTGCTGCGAAGCTACCGCGGTTTCGTGGCCTAACGACGTGCCAGGATACGGATTAGAGGCCTGTAATCGAGCCAACAACAGGTGGGACAGCGAGATCGATGCAGGCCGACTCAAGATTGGATGTTTATTGGCTTATTTTCGGGAAGGCAGACCATGTCGCGCGATCGAAAATGTTTTAAGCGTCTACGGGCTTTGTACGCGCGTCGGTGAAAAAGAGTTCGCCAAGACTTTCGTTTTCGCGCCGTGCCATCGTCATCGGTGGTTCGCGGCAACCATGGCCTGGTTGTTTAACGACGCGTCGCGACATCGATCGAGCCACGTAATCGAGGCAACAACAGGTGGATATTAAATCGCCAGACTTCCGGTGGCATAGATTGCCAATTTATTTGCTTATCCGGCACCGGATACGAGCGCGAAGCGGTGCCATTGAAACCGATCGATCGACGCGCGAAAAGAACGAGGACTTACAAATCACCCCGCGGAGATCTTTACGATTTCCAACGGCGATTCGAGAAAAATACTAAAGCGGAATTGGCCGTGATAACGTTCCACGGTGGCCAAACTGCTATAGCACAGAGAGAAATGGAAACGTGCTCCGAGTAATTAAATTACGTTCGTGAGAGATGGTCGCAACGGCCCCATTTGCGAAATTAGAGACATTTTTGTTCGTACAACGGCGGCACTCGTCGATCCGTCCCCTCGATATTTTCTAGCCTTAGAAAAATATAATTTGCCTGAACAAATGGAGCTTTGTTCATTCGCAGAAACATCGTCCATACAATGTAAATAGCGTTCTAGGAAAAATAACGTTTATCGCACATCGGTCGAATAATCAATAGGAATTGCTGAAACTACTTTTGGTATGTAGAGTCAAAGTAAATGTCAAAATAAACATGGAAGACAGCATTAAAAATAATAATTGATATGGCTATCGAATAGGGGATGAAATGCCCTTTAAAATGAGCGTTTGTACGAGTCGATAGCTTTATTAGTTCCGGAGATATAGCGATTTTAGTTTCGCGTCGATGCGGTGGCTAGTTTCGGAGATAGGGTTTGTTTACGTTTTTGTTGCGCTCGCGCGAGTCCATTGATCTCGCGCGCGTAGATAGTAAACAGTGCGTAGTAAATTCTTGGAAATACTACGCCGAAACTAGGTCACGACAGTCACGTTCGCGAGGTAGGTCAGCACCATGCACGTGCGACAAGGAGGTACGACGCGACGCGTCAGACGAAGACAGCGATAAAAAAATTACCATTTACATAAATTACGATATCTCCGAAACGGAAAGTCGGATCGACAAAAACCAAAAGCCATCTTAAAGAGGAAGGTTTGCCGCCGCTAACAATGGCTCAATTATGGCAAAAACATTAGTAGTTTCGGAACTGCACGTAATTAAAGTTTTAGTAATTTCAATGCGCGTTAGTAGCCTGCCGTAACACGTAAACCCCATAAGAGAATTTTTTTAAAATCACCTATTTACATAAATTACGATATCTCGGAAACGGGAAGTCGGATCTACAAAAACCAAAAGCCATTTTAAATGGGAGGCCTTGTCACTTCTAACGATGTCTCAATTATGGATAAAGCATTGGTAGTTTCGGAACTACACTCGTCTAAAGTTTAACTATTTTTAATACGCGTGGTTGGACTGTTCCCTTCTTTCACCTGTTCTCTCTGTTCAAATTTTGTCCGGTTTTTTTTACAAAAACGTATAAACCTTTCAACCGGTCGGATGACCGGTTGTGTTAGGTTTAGTGTTAAAGAAAGTTTGAACGCAGAAGTGGTTATTCCGCGTCCACGTTTATTGTGTCGGGAGACAATTGATCCGCGCGACTAAATTTTGCTCTTTTCGTTCGTCGGTCGCCGGTATTTTCGAGATTCTACTATCGATATCTCGCACGTTTCCGCTCCTTCCGTCGCGTTCGTTCGGTCGGAATTCCGCGCGTTTGCGAAGGATGCGAAGGATGCGAAGGATAGGATTGTGGACCGGGTCAATAACCACTCCTCGTCAAATTTTTTCAGTAAAGTAATTTTATTTTTTCAAACTTTCCTCCCTCTTTCCACGGTACTTCAATATACATAGGACTTGTTCCGCTTTTCTTCCTTTCTCACGCTTTCGTTCGATGCTACGCGCGTTTTCTCGAACCCATCCGGGGTTTATTTACAAGACACGGATCACCGTACCGGCTACGGTAAGAGACACAATAACGACAATAAATAATAATTAATCTGCTCGACGATAATAATAATGACCATCATCGTGATAATGATTACTCGAGCGTCTATACAAATGAGAAACTTAAGTCTGATTGTTCACCGTTCACGCGGGTGCACAGCTACTCTCTGACTGTCTTTTAATACTTTTATATTAATATATACGTATATATTCTCTTTCTCGCTCGCTACTCTCTCTCGCTCTCTCTCTTGCTTCTTCGTCTCACTCTGTGTATATTATTTACAATTTTTTTTTTCTTTCTTTTTGCGAGTCTAATCTATTTACAACCATGGAGTGCATCTAGCTCTCACCGTGCTCGCACAACCGGGTGCATCGAGGCTCCTCCTCACCTCCCCCCCGGTTTGTCAATCCTCGTTTTCCGTTTTACCCGATGATTGTGCAAGCACGGCCGCGTAACAAAATAAATACTGACTAGTCCGCGCAAGTGTCTTCGCCTCGTCACCGATAGCGAGTTAAGAGGAACTGAACCAAAAGACGAAATCGTCCGGAACCGGGGAACAAACGAAATCGAACGATCGAGATTGTCGACTGGTTCTGGAATGCAACAACGTAAAGGGCGACGAGATGTCGCGCCACGCGGAGACACGCAAACGATAATCGAAATGAACAGAACCCGAAGAGGAGACGGTTCTCCGAGAAGGAACACCTGTTGTCGTCTCGGTTCGCTCGCTGACTAACCGGGAAAGACACTAAACTATCTACGACCTTACGATGGAACGTAACTACGACGACGAGTTAACACCGAAACGCGAGTGCCACGAGCTTGGGTACGTAGCTCGTACGACCCTGGAACGATCGTGGCCGACGATATCACGGGATATGTGAACCGTCTCGAGGATACCTGGAGCCACCAGATGGAGACAGACATCCGAGACAGGGCAGTCTCTACAAGAATATGTCGCTCGCGAACGACATGTGTCACGTAGTTTGCACGTTCAAATAGATATCCTCGGGTTTGCTGAGGAGGCTGTGTATCTGCTGCATCGTGCAGAGCGGACACACCTCCTCCTCGGTACCCTCGGCCACGATCCTCCTGGCCGTGCCCGGTGCCCTCCTGGAGTCCACGATGTACGAGTAACCGTCCGAGTCGATCGAGTTCGACCTGACGGACGACGAACGGAACAACCTCAGCGAGGAGGAGATCCTCAGACCGGTAGAGCTATCCGGCTGACGATGATTGCTCGGATCGCGTCTCGTGGACTCCAGGTCCGTGTCCTTGAAGTCTATGTACGAGTATCCCTCGGAATCGACAGAGGGCCTCCTGCCGTTCGCTACCTCCTCCCTATGCAAAACTCTTTGACCGGTTTGTTGGCTCTGAGGCGGTTGGAAGGCTCTGGATCGATGGGTCGGCGTGATTGGTAGCCGGGAATCTATCGGACGGCCGGAAACGCAGCCGTCGAGCAGATACTTTTCGTTGGTGAGAGCGAGCTCCGCGTCCGGACAGGTCGGGATGCAAGGAGGAACGTCGGGCAAGGGTGTCTGAGGCAAGGGTTGCCGGGTGGTGATCAGGGCGTTCTGACTGGCCAGCAGCAAGTGACTGTTCCGGAGAACGTTCCCGCCGTTCCTCAATAGCGGACTGGTCACGGCGGTGCATCGAGGAGGCGCGTGGGTGGCTATCGATAGCGGGACTTCCTGGGACTTGGCGAGAAGGGCACGCGGCGTTCGATAGCCGCCTAAGACCGCCCTCGAGGGCTTGTCCTGGACGCGTAGTATCGCCCTTGGGTCCCGGTAGTCGAGATAGTCGAGATGATGCGGCGCGGGAGGCCGTGCGCGCTGCAACTGCTGCGGCTGTCGTTCCCGCAGGCTGTGTCGCTGATCGGGATTTCGTACCTCGATCGTCGGCGCCTGGCCAGGGTGGTGGCTCGGCAGGTGATTGTGCAGCTGCGAGTGCGTCACCGGTTCCGGCAGGTCCTCGTACAGCACCGCGCCACCCGCGCTCCCGGTACCCGAGTGCGGCTGTCCCTCGGTCAACACTCGACTACGGCCACCAGCCGCCGCCACGGCCGCCGCTGCCGCCGCTCCTGCTGCGCTCTTGCACGGTAACAGGTTCTGCACTTTCCGCTTATGCCTGAAACAAAAAGTCAACCACGCTCTTAAACCACCGTACTTACACAATACGCTCAACCCGTCCACCCCCTCTCTGAACTTTCAACGAAAAATGTCAGGCCACGTAACGGAGCAAGAGGAACCATCGACCCTCGAAACTGGACCGAATAAATAGAAAGAAATTGTTTACGATTTCGTTTCGGAAAACTAGCATCGAGGATTCCACGGGCAACCGGCGAGCAGAATCCGAGAAGCTATGTTGATATTCTACTTCGTCTCGCGCTTCGCCTTCCGCCTCCTCCTATCCCTCGATCTCTCTTTTCCGTTTCCACTCTGCTCTTGGCTGCCGCTCGTCGGCACACCGGATTAGTCGGGAGCTCGTTGCAATTGTTTGTTCAGACCAGCTTTGCCGTAGCTGCAACCGAGAGCTTTTCTCAATGTAAACTTTAACGAATGGAGACCTGCCTTTGCCTATCGCTTCTGTGCCGGGCTCGACCGGGCATACATTCGCACCTTTCTCCACCGGGGTTGCACAGATTCCTGAACGTTCTTCGAGTTTTAGTCAAACAACTTTACGCGCTAGATCCTCCAGGGCGAATAAAAGGGATAATCGACCGGTCGGATAGACTGAAATTCGATGGACTACTTTCTTCCGAAAGCTGCACGCGCGTCAATTCTAAACCATTAATCCAAGATCCTAAGATCTACAAATTGCCGCTAGCTCGAGGAAAGAAACTTTCACCCTGCTTCGGTCCAGGCGTCAGAGAGCGAAGTCGAGGACGGACAAGCTTAAGGGAAGGTGGTAATAAAACGTCCCTGGTGAATGATAAAGAACCCTTCAGCAGCGCGATAATTCAGGAGAAGCATCGGGAGGGCGGAGAAAGACCAGACGAATTTTCTTCCCCGATAAAAAGACGAGACAGGAATTTCTCGTTAAGAATACCTCTATTACAGCGGGAACAGGTAGATCCTGGTTCCATCCGCCTCCCCGCGAAAACTTCTCGACGGAAGATAGAAGGTGGAAGAAGCACGATTTGCGGTACGCCGTCAATCTCGCCTTCCATCTTTCGACGTGTACCCGTGTACCCGTGTACACGAGCAGAACGGCTCACCGACGAGTCCCAGCCACGTCTACGCTTTCCGTCGGTACGCTGTTCGGCAAAGTAGTTTACCCTTCAAGTTTTAATTATCTAATTAACTCCGCCAGTTCGATAATATTTGCCTGTGTAATTAAACCGCCAACTATGGTTAACAACTTGCGGTGCACTTCCAATAGTAGGTCGTCGAGGTGAATGGCTGAGGAGAACGAGAACTCGATATCTGTGTGTATTATGGGAACAGATCGGTGGTCCCGCGGATATAACGAGCAAATTAATTGCACCACCCGAATCCATGTTCTTCGCCGCAATTTTTCGGCAAACCCAGCCGGCTTGAAATAATATCTTCGATTACCATCGGTATCGATTGCTCGCGGGACTCCAACCGCACGATATCGAAGGAACCAGGCTCGTCGCGACGAGTCGACCAGTATTCCCGACGCGAGACAATTATTTTAAGGAGAGAACAACGGGTCGTAAACGTTGGAACAAGTACTAGGAGTGCAAGGACGATGTGGAACGTGCCAACATCGATGGGCGATAACCGAAGGTTGTTTACGACCTTCGCCCTGCTTTTTTGCCATAACCGTTTATCCTTCGATAATAAATTTATAAACTGAATTTACAACAATAAACCTGGTCGATGCAGCAGGCAGTACCGCATAGTTACGACCCTAACGGACTGCTGGTTGGCCCGCACGTGCTCGGTTTCGCGTATCTCGGGCTCGGAATCTGATTACATTTGCTACGATGCGATTACGCGTAATCGCACGGTAATCGCCGTCCAAACGCGACGTAATCGTAACTGCGAGCCTTCGAAGCGTGTAAAAGCTACGTAATTAGAGCGCGATTACGCGTTATTTCACGAAGGTTCTTCTAATTTTTCTCTGTCGCGAAGTCGCCGAGGGGGCTGAAAACAGCCGGTAATTGACCGCGTCTCCGCGTTTGAAATTTCGGACTTAATTCGAGGCGCGATAGTTTCCCGAGTCCGTATAATGAAACGCAAAGACGAAGGGAAACGAGATTAGTTCGAGAGGTGGCCAGCCACGGAAAGATTATCCCGAGCGCGGGCAAAGAGCCAGTTACATCGTAAAACAGGAAGCAAAGGCTGTTAAACGAGGAGCTAGAGGGACAGGAGGTCTGGTTCCAGGGAACTAGCGGTGACCTGGCTCGCCCCGGCAAATGTCCGCCCGCGAAAGGTTCGTGGTTCGCCGTTTCTGGGTTTCACGGTCCACGGTCCGAGAGCTGAAACCATCGCGGCGGATTCACGCCGTGCCGAGTCCCGGGCACAGACACCAACGTAAACTGGGCATCCATCTTCTGTACTAGCAAGATTTCAATTTACCTAATGCCCGTCGTCTGTCAGCCATAGCGCGCGACCACACTTAGCCGTGCTCTTAGCGCTCACCGAGCGCCAACACGCTTCGCGAGCTCTCTTCCCGCTACGTGGAAACACGTTTGCGGCGATGGTCCCCCGTCATCCGACGAGAATATCCCGCCCGTGGAATTCACGATGGAGTCTAGGTGGATTTCGACCATGTTATACACGGTATCGATCCTGCTGCGACCACGGGGACATTTTTCTGTTCTTGTTCCTTGCGTCGTAAAGCGGTAGAAACGGGCCGAGTTTAATTTTTTGTTCCTCGACGACAAGATCGTTGAAACAATTGCGAACGACGCGCGGTCGCAACGTTATTCGGCGTTTGAAAGGAACGCATAAACCCGGTCGTTGGACGAATCATACCGAACCATACAAACAGTCGTAAAACGCGTACAGCATGAGAAGCACTGGGACGCTGAATGCACCTGGAACAGGCCAGTCGTGTTCGTGATCGCGCACCCGTGCTAAACACGGTATCGCGAGCTTGCGGTCGTATAACGGACCATAAAGCGCTTTGTGGAGTAGCGACCCTTCGAGCACCGGTACACGCGTTCGTCCAAGGGCTTCTCTATCCCCTGACGCGCACTTCTGTTTGTTGTTTTTTGCGAAATTCTATCGAGTTCTCGTTGGTCGGACGACGGAGTCCGTAAGTCAGCTACCAGCGACGACGGAATAACGATCGCGAGAATTGTAAACGAACGGACGTTGCACGGAGCCGCAAACTGCGGTACTCGTGAGACGCGTATCGCGCTGGATTAGCCCGGGTCTTCCGGCTCTCATTCAAGGGACCCGTGCAATCCAAGTCGTTCGTTATGGCATGCGATCCGCTGATGGAAATTCACGATGGCGTAGCAATTAGTAGTCGAGATTGAATATCAGAATGCCGAGCTATACAAGACGGACCAAGTTCTCGTCGGTTCTCCCTTCGGGGGCATCGGAAGCTCGCGTTGGGATTGCTTGCGATGGATTTCGGACCAGCCTCCGTTGCTCGCCGCCTAACAGCCTCCGCGGAAACAGACGGAAACTTCCGGACGCTCCTAATCAAACCCATTCCGGGCAGCAACTGCGCGCCTAGAATGGACATCTCTGGCTTTGTGCCCTCCGGCTACCTCTCTGCTCTATATTCGCAGCTAGATATCGTAATGATTTTTCATTAAGGTCGACGTCTATCCCCCTTCCTTTCTACCACCCCCGTTTTCTCTCGTACCGAGACGTTCCATCTCCTATCTCCTAATGGATTTCATTTAGTCATGACTGGAACCTAGTCGGAGAGGACTTCGCCGGGGGAAGAAACTCCGTCGGCCACGGCAAAGAAAGAATCGAAGCGCGAGGAAATTGTAGGTGGCTGGAGCTCGTCGACGCGTAACGAAGACGCGTGCAACGGCCTCCTTCTTTCTCTCCGACCCTTCTCCGAGCCGTTCTTCGGTCTAGCCAGCCGAAGCGAATTCGCTCTTGCTAAGCGCTGAATAGGTCATTTAAGCCGAGCTTTAAACTCGAGCTAAATTAACTGCCTTTTCTGTTTCTATCTGACACCGGCGCGTGCAGCCACCCGCGTTTCCACTCCGTTTCGGTCGATTTCACCGCTCGACTGCTGCTCGTTCGGAGTCCACGCGTCAAACGTCGTCGCTGTTTCGACCAGAAACTACCACCCCAGAACCCTACCGACTATATCGAAGCTAGGTAAACCGAAAGATCGAGCCTAAAATATTTGCCTGAGATGCAGCCTGCTTGAGATGCAGTCTCGTTTCATCCGGCGTTTCGATCTGAATTAAAGCACCCGACACGTTCCCCGAACATGGTAGTACCTTTAATTGTGATCCGCATCGCGAACGTTGCAAAGCCCCAAAAATGCCGTCGGAATATTTAGAACCGCATTAAGGTTGTTCTGTCCCGCGAATCGACCGAAACACCCAAGTTCGCGTACATGGAGCCTGGCACCGGAAGCACGAACCGGTTACAGCCGCCTCCGTACCCGGTATATAACCTCGCGCCGACAAGCGCATCGGATTTTGAAGTTTACTTGCCGCCGGAGTTTCTCGTAAGCTTCTCGAAACTACAAATTTTGCATATCAATGCGCGTGGGTACACCCAGCCTGTCGACTCGATAAACGACTTTCCACCCCTGCCAGCCCCGCTTCGGCTCCTTTCACCCACCGTAACCCGTGGGATTCTCTATTCCTCCACCCCGTCGGTAATATCGTCGCATTTCCACCCTTGTATTCGCGGATATACAGCTAGTCCCGCCTCTTCTCGAACCGAAGAGGAACCGTGTATTTGTTCGGATGAGACTGTGCAAGAAAGATGTCGCTTCCCGGGTAGGAAATCGAGCTAAAGCGAACGAGTCGAGTAACTGCGTATTTAAAGCACGCGTCCCCCCCGTTCCCCGAAGTTGTTTTCAAAACACCCACCTACGATTTCGATATGGAACGCCCCCGAGTAACTTCAACTTGTCGAACTTTATCAATCTCGCGCGGATCGCTTAACCCATTCAGCCCGGGCGTGGCGCATTACCGTTCTGAATGGGTCAAAGATAATCTCTCGATC